GGCTGTTGTCAACTGATAGCCATCAAAGTGAAGCTACAATTTCGATATTTACAATAGATTACTAAAAAGCAGCAAAATAATAGAATCCTATGCCCAATTGCTTGATCATTTTAAAGGACTTGTATGTTCCTGTATCTTTCCTTCTCTACAGTGTATTATTGTAAATTTTTTTAGACAAATGTCAGTTTGCAAAATTAGAAGTAAAGTTTATAAAATTCATACATTTGACAATGTATATTGCTTAATTGGATAAAATATCAATACAAATTGAAACATTTCAATTGCATTTCTTTTTTTAAATTTATTTATTTATCTGAGAGGTAGAATAACAGAAACAGAGAGGGGACAGACAGAGATGTCTCACATCCACTGGTTCATTCCCCAAATGATTGCAATGGTCAGAGCTGGGCTGATCTGAAGCTAGGAGCCAGGAGCACATAATTTTGACAACTAATATGCCTTGTTCATAATTATATCACAGATTGTTATTATATAAATAAATAGATTTCTTGTTTTCTATTCAGTTGTAAGCATTTAAAAATTAGGTTTGAATGTTATTTATTTTCATTTTTTTGAGGAATGCTATGGTTTAATTTGTATCATTTACTGGGAAATACTGATTGGCATGATAGTACAAATGATTTCTGAAAATTACTAGACATTTAAAAATTTAACTGATTTTTAAGCAATACTGGAGATAACTAGATAAATACTGAAGATGTAGTAGGAGATGCATTTCAAATGGATGAAAAATACATAGCTAATACTGAAGCATCAGATTATATTGAAATTTTTTTGTGTAAAGTTGTTAACTACTCTAGACAAGAGAAAGACATTTTTGTCTTTCAAAAACATTCACTTTACTGTTTATTGAGTGTTTTCTACAAGCAAACCATTGACAGAAAGACACTGACCCAACAGAACTTATAAACTTTTACAGGTCTTAAGCTGTGGACAAAGAAAACACAGATGTGGTTAGTGTCACAAAATGTGTAATAAATTGTGCAATTTAGTAGACCTGCACTGTGAGGTCAGGGGAGGTCTTCCTATCAACATAGTTAGGCCAAAGTTAAAACATGTACCAAAAAACAATGATGAAACTAGGAAAAGGTTTTCCTGAGTTGCTGATCATTATGGACAAGGGAATAAATGCTCAACTTTCTGTAAGTCTGAAAGGAAGGGAGAGAGCTCATCTTCACTTCCCCTATGTTCTAATGTTGATTCTTTGGATCTAGGAACACAGTTAATATAAGAACTGATTCAGTCAGTAGTCACCGATCAGGGAGAACATATGGTATTTGTCCCTTTGGGGGACACCCCAAACACCAAGAGGGAAACCTGTTGGAGTGAGGTGGACACTATGGGAAATGGTGGCTTGATCAGCATAGCCCTGACTGTTAATGAACAACTTAATACATTATCCCTCTTAGTAGTTTTTTAATCTGTTCTACTTAATATGACTGGTTTAGTTCTGTAATTGATGCACAGTTATTCTTAAGTGTTGAAAATTAACTGAAATGTGATCCCTGTTGAACATGGGAGTGGGAATGGGAGAGGGAAGAGATGTATAATTTGGGACATGCTCAGGCTGACTTGCCCCAAGTGGTGGAGTTGGAAGCATACCAGGGGATTCCAATTCAATCCCATCGAGGTGGCATGTACCAATGCCATCTCACTGTTCCAGGCGATCAATTTCAATTCACAGTTGGTCATGGTGGAGGGACTGGGAGTCAAAGGGAGCACATAGACAAGTCTAGTACCTGCTAACGCTAACCGATGGAGTAAATAAAGGGGAGAGTGATCCAACATGGGAAGTGAGATACTCAGCAGACTCATAGAATGGCAGATGTCCTAAATAGTACTCTGGCCTCAGAATCAGCCCTAAAGGCATTCGGATCTGGCTGAAAAGCCCATGAGAGTATTTCAGGCATGGAAAGCCAACACACTCTGGCAAAAGATCTCTGTGAGTGAGATCCCAGTGGAAAGAACAGGTCATCAAAGAAGGAGGTACCTTTCTCTGAAGGGAGGAGAGAACCTCCACTTTGACTATGACCTTGTCTAAACAAGATAAGAGTCGGAGAACTCAGAGGGCTTCCATAGCCTTGGAAACTCATGACTGGAGCATAGGGAGATTACTGATGCCATAGACAGGAGTGTCAATTGGTAAAGTCAACAACAGGAGTCACTGTGCACTTACTCCTCATGTAGGATCTCTATCCTTAATGTGCTGTACATTGAGAATTAATGCTATAATGAGTACTCAAACAATATATTTCACTTTGTGTTTCTATGGGGGTGCAAACTGTTGAAATCCTTACTTAATGCATACTAAACTGGTCCTCTGTAAAAAAAAAAAAAAAAAAAGAAATTATCAATTCCCAACTTGACTCTCACTGGGATTAAACATGACAATAGGTCTGCTCTGATTTCATCATCATTTTAAAAAAATCATCTATCATTTTTCACTTTATGTTTCTGTGTGGGAGTAAACTGTTGAAATCCATACTTAATGTATACTAAGCTGATCTTCTGTATATTAAGATAATAGAAAATGAATCTTGATGTGAATGGAAGGGGAGAGGGAGTGGGAAAGGGGAGGGTAGTGGGTGGGAGGGACGGTATGGGGGGGAAGCCATTGTAATCCATAAGTCGTACTTTGGAAATTTATATTCATTAAATAAAAGTTTAAAAAATATATAAGAACTGATTAACAAGATAATAATGTCAAAGTTTCATTAAAGTTTACATGTTTGTGAGGAACGTTACAAGAGAGTTAAATCCAAAGAAATGGCCAAAGTATGATGCTTTTATAATTTTTAAACAAAGAACAATACATTTGTGAAGGAATAACAGGATAAATAAATGTCTGGATAAAGGTAGTGAATTCCAAGCGTGTGCCTAAAAGAAATGTGAGGATGGTGAGAATGTAGGAGATAGTGAAGGATAAAGGTTACTTTGAAGAGTATGTTTATTCAAATTAATTGCTAATTAATTGCTAATTAATTACTAGTCTCTGGCTACCAAGTCTGTTTTCTATTCTTGCCTTGAGAAGGACATCCCTCCCAAAACTTTTCATACTTACTTTATATAGGAAAAGGTAGGCCCCATGTCCCTATCTGGAGTAACGGTTTTTCAAGTGACTTCAACAACAAATAATCACTTTACCAGTTGGGCATATTTGAAATGTCATGTCCTTAACTGCTTCAAGTCCATGTGACAGTTTTTCCATAGCTAATTCTGATCCAGGTTTACAACCTGAAGAACAAGGAAAGAATATAACATACCATTTTGTGAATAGATCTGTAAAATACTCTAAAAGTGGTTTTGTATTTATTATAGTTTATAGAATACTTGTCTCTTTTAAAAAATGAAAACATCAGCTGAACAGCAATCAAAAATCTAATAATAAAAAGAGTCAGCATAGTGGCTGGTGCCCTGGCGCAGTAGGTTAATCCTCCACCTGCGGTGCCAGCATCCCATATGGGCTCCGGTTCTAGTCCCGGCTGCTCCTCTTCCAATCCAGCTCTCTGCTGTGGCCTGGGAGAGCAGTGGAAGATGGCCCAGGTCCTTGGGCCCCTGCACCCACATGGGAGACTGGGAAGAGGCTCCTGGCTTCAGATCGGCGCAACTCAAGTTGTTGCGGCCATTTGGGGAGTGAACCAGCAGACGGAAGACTTTTCTCCCTTTCACTGTATGTAACTCTACCTCTCAAATGAATAAATAAAATCTTTAAAAAAAAAAAAGAACACAGAGTAGTTAATAGGATCAGAGAAACTTGGTTTTGAAGAGTATCTCATAATTTAAGAAAGAAAAATGTGGTACTATTTACGCTCTAAAGACCTCAGTTTTCTTATCTGCAAAGTGGGTGTAATAATAGGATGGGTGGGCATTTGGTCTAAGGTTAAGACACCATTCGGGTATTGCATTAGACTGAATTTAGGTTCCAGCTTCACTCCTGATTCCAGCTTCTGCTAATGCACATACAGAGAGAGATAGCAGGTGATGTTTCAGGTGGTTGGGTCACTGCCCCCAACACTGGGAACCTGGATTGTATTCCTTAATCTTGGCTTCACCCTGGTCCATCCTAGGCTATTGCAGGCATCTGAGGAGTAAATCACTGACTAAGATTTCTGATTCCCAAATAAATAAATATATAAAAATTTAAAAAATAATGGGAGTTACCTTATTTTTTGTCCCTAAAATTATATCAAGATGTCAGTTTTGAAATATTTATACTATTAAGATGAAAATTGAATAATTGTTTGAAAATAAATACAAATCACATGGTTTTCCATAGAAATAAAGAAGGCAGAAAGGTTACTCTAAAAATATGCTTGGTTAATGATGAGATAATTTATTTACTAAGGATAATCTAATATTTGAAGGTATATACTTATGAAAAACACATATGCATGTTTTTCATGATAATTTTCCACAGGAATGAGGACTTGTAACATTGGTGTTTGCGAATTATAGATTCGTACTTATCTTAGATATTGTATAAGCTATAGAAAGTTATATGAAAATGGTAAAATGTCAAAAATAAAGATCTATTTATTTTATTTGAAAGGTAGAGTTACAGAGAGGCAGAGGCAGAAGCAGAGGCATATATATATATATATGGAGAGAGAGAGAGAGAGAGAGAGAGAGGTCTTCGATCCGCTAGTTCACCTCCCAAGTGGCCACAATGGCCAGAGCTGCACCAATCCGAAGCCAGGAGCCAGCAGCTTCTTCTGGGTCTCCCACAAGGTTGCAGGGGTCCAAGGACGTGGGCCATCTTTTACTGCTTTCCCAGGTCATAAAAGAGAGCTAGATCAGAAGTGAAACAGCTGGAACTCGAACTAGTGTCTATATGGGATGCTGGCACTGCAGGCGTCAGCTTTACCTACAACATCACAGTTTAGGCCCCTAAATAATAATTTAAATAACAGTGTAAAGCATTGTTTTCTATATAGTGTTATTCCAATAAATATATTTTCACCCATGTCTCTTAATTCTAGATTTCAGACTGAACTGAATTATGATGTTTTGGAAGTTCATGATGGACCAAACCTTCTTTCACCCTTGCTTGGATCTTACAATGGCACACAAGTGCCCCAGTTTCTGTTTAGCAGCAGTAATTTTATATACCTTTTGTTTACAACAGACAACAGCCGTTCCAATAATGGTTTCAAGATTCATTATGAAAGTAAGTAATGACAGTTTTTTCCATTCTGTTTGTCTTACATTAAGTATTATCATTGTGTTTCTAAGAGAATTAGCAACTCTCATTTTTTTAAAAATAAGCTTCCTTGATTATAAGAATGTCAATGTCAATAAGGTGTATGTTACACTCTACTCTGTAAGAAATTTTAAAAATTATCTAATATCATGGTAAAAGAAAATACTAAAGAAGTTGAAGTAACAAATTCTTAGAAAAGATGTTTTTTTGAAAAACTATTTATATAATTCTACAAAACAGACTATAGTAAATCTGATATGTACGAATATTGCCAATTTTTTGGCATTTAACTCATAAATCAATTTCTTGCATATTTTACCCATGATATTGACACACATTTTCATTTGAAAAATCATTACTATTATTTTGTATAAAAGGTTGAATATTACATTAACAACCAAAAGTAAAAAATATCCACATATTCAAATATGATTAACACAATTGGTCAAAGACTATATAGAACAAATTACAATTTAGGATTTTGGAATCAAATTTTCATTTTTACAATTTGTTTTAAAACCTGACAAGTTATAGAGAAGGAAGGAGAGGGAAATCTTCCATCCTCTGGCTCACTCCCCAGATGACTGCAATGGCCAGGGCTGGGACAAGACAAAGCCAGTAGCCAGGAGCTTCTTCCCAGTCTCCCACATGGGCGGCAGGTACCCAAGCACTTGGGCCATCTTCTACTATTTTTCCCTGGTCATTAGCAGGGAACTGAGTGGGAAAGTGGAGCACCTAGGACATGAACTGGCACCTTTATGGAATGCAGGCACTGGCTCAACCAGCCACACCAAAGGATAGCTCCAGATTTAACAAGTTTTAACATTGTTCATGTTCACTTCATATGTAGATATCATATACATTCATATGTATGCTACTTTTCCTTGAAAAGAAGATTATTATCCATCATTTAATGTAGGATTCATAATAGTGACCAGAAGTTAGGAAAATAGGATATGTTTTTATGTAGATGGTATAATTCAGTGAAGATAATATCTATAACTATCTATTTACCAGGTAACATGACATTCATATTTGTATCCTCTATATATTTGAAATTCATAATTATCCCACTTAATGGTATATAGTTTTGTTAAGAAGCCTTAAAATTTTTAATAAAAAAGATTGGATTCTAATATTTACATGGAAACAAGTCACTTTCATTTATAAATACTTGCATATTTACATTCATGAGGCTATATTGTATATGATATATGAAAGGTCATCAAGTAGTCATAGAAAATGTGTATTATTAAAAAAGTATGCACAGACATCAAAATTTTGTCACCAAAATAAGCTTATCTTTAATTCTACTTTTTCAAGAACTTTTTTGAAGTCCCCTCTTCATGTGTACAAACATGCATGTGAAAAAGTTCACTTGTGTGCACATTTTTACCAAAAACTGCATTGCCATATACCTTTTGGTGAAATGTAATTTTGGTAAATGAACCTAATAGCACACTACAAGTGGGTTACTGCAAGTTATATTTATTTTATTTCAAATGCAAATATTATAATACTTTTTATATTTAGTCTCAAATGATCCCTTCTTAGGAAAATATTTTGGCATTTGAAATATATAGCTTTATATTGGCTGCAGGACATTCTCTTCAGTACATATGGTCAATGGTTTCATATATTTTTAAACCAAAATTTATATAAATTCATTGCTTTTTCCTTTTAAATTTTACCCACAATGTTGTTTTAATTATGTTATCTTTCCTTTATTTCAAGCTCTATGACCCAGAAGTATATTTCCTAAACATTATTTTAAAATTCGGCAAGAGGAGTCACACATACTTGGGATTTCAACTGCACTAACTGCTGTAATTGAGATATCTGGCTTAACTTGTATTTGTTAAAGCTCAATCAGAATAGTCATTTTTAAAATTCCATTTCAAAGTTAATTCTTACTAGTAATTAATGAACACATATATGTAGACACCTTTTCTTTTAGAATATTGCTGTCTACTCTATGCCCAATAGATTGCATTTAATTCCACTCCACCAATGTATCAGACTACTTTAAGGATTAATTGAAACTGTGTGTAGAAAGTGTAGCAGGGCCGGCGCCGCGGCTCACTAGGCTAATCCTCCACTTAGCGGCTCCAGCACACCGGGTTCTAGTCCCTGTCGGGGCACCAGATTCTGTCCCAGTTGCCCCTCTTCCAGGCCATCTCTCTACTGTGGCCCAGGAAGGCAGTGGAGGATGGCCCAAGTGCTTGGGCCCTGCACCCCATGGTCGACCAGGAGAAGCACCTGGCTCCTGCCTTCGGATCAGCGCGGTGCACTGGCTGCAGCGCGCCAGCCGTGGCAGCCATTGGAGGGTGAACCAACGGCAAAAGGAAGACCTTTCTCTCTGTCTCTCTCTCTCACTGTCCACTCTGCCTGTCAAAAAAAAAAAAAAAAAAAAGTGTAGCATAACAGCTGATATATAATAAGATATAAATTAATGAGATTTAATTGAAACGAATTAACATGAATAAGATAAACAAGAAGCATATCTTCCAACATCAAATCTGTAACTAATAGGTGGTTGGTGACATTGTCCAAGTAATTAGGACTAATGCAAAGTAGAAGCTAAGAGCTGAATGAGGATGAGGTTGGTGAAAATCACCCTTAATATTGATTAGGTCAGAGGCAATAGCTTTCTAATGATAAATTTTAAAGCATATTGACTTTCAAATCTATTAAAAGAGAAAATGATTAGATTTTCACATTGAACCAAAATTCTATGGAAAAGATTTTCTGCAAAGCTACTACTGCTCACACTCTGTGTTTCCATTTTATTCCCTTTCCCCAGGCAATTTGTGCCCTCCTCTATCTTCCACTAAAAACAGGGGCATTGCAAAAACTGTAACAATAAGATAAGGCTATTTGTAGTTTTCAAAATGTGTTAAAATAGTAACAACCTAGAGTAGACTTCAGTAACATAATGTATTTTTGGTTTTCAGTACAATTTTTTGCCCCCTTCTCCCAACAGGAAAATCACTTCTATTTATTATTATTATTAGTAGTAGTAGTAGTATCATTATCATTTATTATTTAGTTTCAAAATAAATACAATTCCAGGAGCAGCTTAGTTTCCTATTAAAACCAGCATTGAAATGAAATGAATATGCTTGATAAATATATTTAAAATGTACAATTTACCTCTTTTAAATTCAAAATCTATTATATAGTATTTTTATTTAGCTTCATTTAAAATTGGGTAATTCAGGGCCGGCGCTGTGGCTCACTTGGTTAATCCTCCGCCTGCGGCACCGGCATCCCATATGGGCACCGGGTTCTAGTCCTAGTTGCTTCTCGTCCAGTCCTGCTCTCTACTGTGGCCCAGGAAGGCAGTGGAGGATGCTTGGGCACCTGACCCGCATGGGCGACCAGGAAGAAGCATCTGGCTCCTGGCTTCGGAATGGTGTAGCTCCAGCCGTGGCGGCCATTTGGGGGGTGAACCAACAGAAGGAAGACTTTTCTCTTCGTCTCTCTCTCTCACTGTCTAACTGTATCTGTCAAATAAAAAGAATTTTTTAAAAAACTTAAAATTGGGTAATTCATTCAAATAAATATTTTATTATGTGAATGTGATTTAATATAATCATGCAACTCTAAATGGTAATTAATATATTGTGGAATATAGAAGCATTAGTTAGAATATAGAAGAAGTAGTTATTGTTCAAATTTCTCATTTAGGAAGAAAAAGATAATTGTTTATTATACCTTAATTTGTATCTCAGGAATCAAGTGACAGTATATCTGATGACATTTTTATTGACCTGATTGGAGAAGTGATACTGAAGTATACCAGATTGAGGCAAGGAATGTTTCTAAACATTTCTCAGTACACAGGGAACCTCAGAAGTAGCCAATTCATTTTTTTGGATTTATTTATTTATTGGAGAGGCGTAGTTATATATATAGAGAGGGAGAGGCAGAGGGAGAGAGAGAAAGAGAGAGAGAGAGAGAGAGAGATCGATCTTCCACCCACTTGTTCACTCCCAAAATAGCCGCAACAGAAGAGCGAGGCCAATCCAAAGCCAGTAGCCAGGAGCTTCTTTCTGATCTTCCATGTTGAGGCAGGGGCCCCAGCACTTGGGCCATTTTCCGCTGCCTTCCCAGGCATACTAGTATGGAGCTGGATAGAAAGTGGAGCAGCTAGGGTGAGAACTGGCACCCTATGGGATGCTGGCTTTTCAGGCTTTACCCACTTGGCCAGAATGCTGGTCCCATATTCTTGTAATTATTATTATTTTTAAAGATTTATTTATTTATTTGATATAGTCACAGAAAAGGAGAGGCAAAGAGAGTGAGAAAGACAGAGAGAATCTTTCATCTGCTGGCTCACTTGCAGATTGCTGAAGCCAAGTGCCAGGATCTTCATCTGGTTTCCCATTTGAGTGCTGGGGCCCAAAAACTTGGGCCATCTCCACTGCTTTCCCAGGCACATTAGTAGGTAGCTAGATTGAAAATGAAGTAACCGGGACTCGAATTGATGCCCACATGAAATGCCAGCACTGTTGGCAGTGTCTTTACCCACTATACAACAATGACAGCTCCTTTCATAATTATTAAATGAAGAAATTTTTATGTAATATTTATAACTGTGCCTGGAATATAATAACTTCTGGAAATGCTAATTACAACTATGATTATTATTGTATACATATATGTGTGTGTGTGTCCAAATATACAAAATGTCTAAAATACAAAGTTTGATACATAATTTTATCTTTTCATCCCACTATTATATAATTAATCTGAATTTTATCCTTATTGGTAAAAAAAACTTGTTAAATACAATTTTTTATGTTTCTTTATTTATTTGAAAATCAAAGTTACAGTTGGGGGGAGACAGAGAGAGAGAGAGCAAGAGAGAGAGAGATTATCCATCTATTGGTTCACTCCCCAGATGGCTGTAATGCCAAACGCTGTGTCAGGCTGAAGCCAAGATTCAGGAGCTTCATTTGGGTCTGCCACATGAGTACAGGGGCCTAAGCACTTGAGTCACCTTCTATTGCTTTTCCCAGACCAATAGCAGGGAACTGGATTGGAAGTAGAGCAGCTGGACTCAACATGGTGCACATATGGGATGCCAGTGTCACAGGCAATGCCACAAAGCCAACCTTAAAATATTAAAATACTTTTTAAAATGGTGCTTTGAGTATATTAATTTATTTGTGAAAAATCATCATCCTCTGTTGTTTGAAGAAATAGGAATCTGTCTGAAATCTATCAAATTTCTCCTTTTTTATATACTCTTTGTTTCTCAGGTGTTACAGTGAACACATATTCTTGCTTGGACCCAGGCATACCTGTACATGGCCGTCGCTACGGTCATGACTTCTCTATTGGATCTACTGTTTCATTTAGTTGTGATCCAGGGTACAGGTTAAGCCATGAAGAACCACTTCTGTGTGAAAAAAATCACTGGTGGAGTCATCCCCTTCCAACGTGTGATGGTAAGAACTCATTCAATGTACAAAACATGTGCAATAAAAAAATCAGTATAGTTGTATAAAATGTGAAGTTTAACATAAATATAAATTTTTCATAGTTTATAAAGACTCTCTGGAATTTTGACAACTTATGCTATCAAAATATTAATAAAATAATATTGATAATCAGATATTTTCCCTATGCCTAAAAATGCTGTAAAATATAATGCATTTATGTGTATATACATATGCATATGTTTATGTGTGTGTGTGTGTGCTGTTGTTAGCATTTTAAATACATCTTGTAGATAGTCTGAGAAAGAACATTCATTGCACACGCCAAGTTCACATCAGACAAATGCAGTGAAAGAGCACAGCATTTGCTTTCCCTCTGTTCCCCATAAATACAAACAATGCACATTCACTTGTAGCTCTGGAAGGCAATTGCACTAGTCCAGACAGAAGCGCAGTTTATTCCCCGCAATTCTAACTTGCTACACAGCATCATAGCAACTTACCCAGGCTGCCTTGTGATGGCAAGTTACTAATTATCATAGGTAACATACTAGTGTCCTTTTTTATTTTTCTGTTTCTATGAGAATTCAACAAAGATCCTAATTTTTCAAGATCCGTATATGAAAATATAGTGAGAAAAAATGTTTCTAAGACAGAGAAGTGTTTTCATATTTACTTTATCATAAAGCACAGTCAATGTAAATCTATCCATTATTTAGTTCTAGGCTTTAATTTCTATTTATAGGACTATCTCCAACTTTTGTACAGTTTTTTTTATGGTGGGAGATCACATTTGTCATGTAGTGATTAAATTTTCAAGTACTGTCAGTATCATCATTTTTTAGGAACAGCTTAGGCCAATTTGTATTTTATAACAAGGTTTAAAGAAATCAACAACATGCCTTCCTTGAATTTTGTACAATATTATTTGTAATAGTCAATGTTTATGTGATTATAACTGACAGAAATCTAACTCTGACAGGTTTTAAAAAAATGAAAACAGAAGTTGTTCAACTATTCAAATCTAAGAAAGAACAATGTGGCATACTTCTCATAGCATGACATTGAACGTTTTAAAAGACTGCTCTGTGTATTTTTTTTAAAATTATTTACTTTTATTTATTTGAAATTCAGAAACAAACACACAGAGAGAGTAGGTTCTTATCCTCTATTTACTCCCTAATGCCTGCAGTAGCTGGGATTGGACCAGGCCAAAGCAAGGAGCCTAGAACTCAATCTAGATCTCCCACGTGGGTAGCAGGGATCTTGAGCAGTTACCTGCTATCTCCCAGAGTAGGCATTAGCAGGAAGCTGGAAACTGGATTGGAGCCAGGATTTGAACCCAGGCCTTCTGATATGGAATATGGGCATCTCAAGCAATATCTTAACTGCTGCCCTGGACCTCCACCCTCCCTCTGTGTTTCACATAATTATTAATATATTAGTTGTGGATCACTCCTCTTAAATGTTATAATGTGTTATACATTATATACTACTTAGTACTTTAATCCTTCACTTGATGAATGTCTTTTTTTGTTTGTTTGTTTGTTTTTTTGTTTTTGACAGGAAGAGTTATAAAGTGAGAGAAAGAGACAGAGAGAAAGGTATTCCTTCCATTGGTTCACCCCCCAAATGGCCGCCACGGCTGGTGCGCTGCAGCCGGTGCTCCACGCCGATCCAAAGCCAGGAGCCAGGTGCTTCCTCCTGGTCTCCCATGCAGGTGCAGGGCCCAAGGACTTGGGCCATCCTCCACTGCCTTCCTGGGCCACAGCAGAGAGCTGGACTAGAAGAGGAGCAACCAGGACAGAATCTGGCGCCCCAACCGGGACTAGAACCTGGGGTGCCGGCGCGGCAGGCAGAGGATAAGCCTAGTGAGCTGCAGCGCTGGCCCAAGAATGTCCTTTTAACTTCTCAACTTCTACACAGCTATATAGGTACACCTTGCAGACAGGAAATTCTCAAGACATTATCGCCAGCCCCACCCCCCAGCTAAAGATAGCAGGATGTGGATGTACAGAAAAAGTTTCCCTCTATTCCCTACACACTCATAATACACATGTGCACACATGCTCACAGAAGAGCACCTGGCTGATATGCTGGTCTTTTTTAACATTTTTGAATTTTTGGCAATAATTTAACTAATTTTCATCCTTCTGTTCATTGAGAAGTTTTATTCTAGTTGTATGAAATAAAGTCCTATCAAATGGGAATACAGGTTTTAACCTAGTAGAGCATTTTCCTTTAAAAAAAAAAACTTATTTATTTAAAAGATAGAGTTACAAAGAGGAAGACACAGAACAAAATCTTCTCTCTGCTGGTTCACTACCCTAAATGGCTGTAACTGCCAGGGCTGGACCAGACCCAAGCCAGCAGCCTGGAACTCCATCCGGGTCCCCCAGGTGGGTGGTAGTTGGCCCAAGCACTGAGACCATCTTCTGCTGCCTTCCTAGGTGCATTAGCAGGAAGCTAGATCAGGCATGGAGCACTGCAGACTTGAACATTTGAAGGAGACAGACACAGGGAAATCATCCATCCACTCATTCACTCCTGAAGTGCCCACCACAGCCATGACCAGCCAGGCTAAACCTCTGAACCCAGAACTCTATCTGGGTCTCCCACTTGGGTGTCAAGTACTTAAGCCATCATCTGCTGCCTCCCAGGATGAGCTTTATCAGGAGGCTGGATCAGAAAGACTGGAGCTGGGACTTGAACCAGGCATTAAAGACCTGGAATGAGAGTGTCCCAAGTAGCAACTTAACTACTACACCAATGTCTACCTATGTCTTTACTAACTTCTAACATTGATAAAATTTTCTGACAAATCATAAGCACTTGTGATTGGAGATATAATGGAAAACATTGTGCAATGATTTGTTCTCAAATAATCAAATGTTAAATCAAATTTTAATGTATTTGACTTAAGTTCATAAACATTTATTTATTTATATTAATTTGGGAAATTTAGTTACAAAATCTGTGCTCTTTAAAAAAATTCTTTTTTCATTCTACATGGCATTGTGCATAGTGGGCAAAGCCTCTGCCTATAATGCTAATCCATTAGTGGGTACTGGTTTCTGTCCCTGCTGCTCTACTTCTGAGCCAGCTTCCTGCTAATGGCCTGAGAAAAGCAGCAGAAGATGTCCCAAGTATTTAGACCCCTCCACACATGGAAAGACCTGAAAGAGGCTCCTGATTCCTGGATTCAGCCTGGCCCAGTTCCAGCCATAACAGCTATCTGGGGAGTGAAACACTGGATGAAAGATTCTCACTCTCCCTCGCTCTTTTTTTCTCTCTGTCCCTGACTTTGTGTAACTAACTTTCAAATAACATTGAAAAAATAATAATTAAAGAAATGTAGAACTTTAGAAGCGAACTCCAAAACTTAGACAATTTACTTTGCTGTTTTAAAGGAATCGTATGAAAAATGACACATATCCCTCTAGAAATATTTATGACTATGTTTCATCAGTAATAGTTCATTTCCTTCATGCTTAATAAGAGGAACTTGGGACCTCAGCCTGCAGTGCTGTCATCTCCGATGGGCTCTGGTTTGAGTCCTATCTGGTCTGCTTCTGATCCAGCTCCCTGCTAATGCACCTGGGAAAGCAGCAGAGAATGGCCCAAGTGCTTGGGCCCCTGTACACACGTGGGAGACACTGAAGAATCTCCTGGCTTCCGCTTGCCCAGCCCTGGCCAATGCAACCATGGGGGAGTGAACCAACAGATGGAAGATTCTTTCTCTCTTTCTCTCTGTGTGTCTCTCCTCTCTTCTCTCTCTCTCTGTAACTCTGCCTTTCAAATAAATAAATCAAATCAAATCTTTAAAAGAAAATAGGAGGGGCTCCTAAACAATTAATTTCACATGCTAATATTGCTTATATTTAGCAATCTGTAAGTTTGTACATAAAATTTAAATGTAGTGAGTTGATCTATGTTTACTTGGGGCCAGTACTACTACTCAGAGATTATTCATCCAGTTGTCTTCTCTAGTGCTATGATGGTTGAAATGATTTTCTTATATAGGAAGAGGTCTTTAAATTTATGTTGTTACCAAGAAGTAGCTTAGGTAAGATAATGGGACTCATCCTTTTTCAAGAGACCAGGTAAGAGATTTGTTCAGTGTTGGCCTCTCTCTGACTGTTCGCACTGTATTTCTTTATATTTTCAGCATTATGTGGAGGAGACGTTAGAGGGCCTAGTGGAACAATCTTATCACCTGGTTACCCAGAATTTTACCCAAATTCTCTGAATTGTACCTGGACTGTTGATGTAACCCATGGAAAAGGTACTTTACCTCAAGCAATCAGAATTGGGCTAGCTTCGGAATTTTCATGGGGACTTTTATTATTTCCTAGTCCTTAACAGTCATCTTCCATGAGCAGAAGCACAGTACTAAACTCTGCTAAAACAAAGTTCAATTTAATTAACTACAGTGAAGACTGGAATTAATTTTCTAGAATGTTATGATGTGCTCTTGTTTTTGTCATAATGGCGATATGAGATATTTGTTTTCTTTTGATAAAATAACTAATATCATTTGGAATATTATATTAACAAAATCTCAGATAGGATGGCTTTTGTCTGTGGTATAGTATGGTCGATTTCAGAACTTCCAAGAGGAATCCAAAGATGCTCTGAAGAGCTGAGCCAATTGTAAAGCAAATATCACATTTTATATGTGCTTGTTTATAAATTATTTATGTTTATTTATTATAACTATAGTCCCATATAAATTTATAACAATTCTATATGTTCTTACATCTCAAATTCTCTAAAATCTAGCTGAAGATGTATCTCACATAATTGAACTTTGAAGTGTAAAATTACACTGTGCTGTAGTAGATGTAAATAAATGTCCTTTTACACGTAAATGAAAGACTCTGTAGTGCTAAATATGGTTCATTCATGCAATACAACCAATTAGCAAATTAACAATGCTATTGATCAGTGTAACAATTTAACAGTGGGAAATGATCATCCTAATATATGAAAATAAATATGAATGAAAATTATTAACCTGTAAATCTCCATGGCCTAATCTATTAAAAATAATTTATTTCTTTAAAAAACTACTTTCAAGAAGTAGTTTTTCTTTTAGCTCTGTTATTATAATGCCATTACTGATTTTACTATTATATTATACTTACTATAGAAAATCTAAAACAAACAAAAAATTCCTAGCAATGTGAAAACACTATTGCAATTTTTTAAAATAAAAACTGTATTGGTGTTTTAACAAAGAGTTAACCTTTACTAAAAATATACATCATTTTATTGGGGAAGTGAGGAATATAAGTGATTGTTATGTTTAGATTTCTATAGTACATTAAATGTTACTGAGAAAAAATGTTAAATATTGTGGTACTGGTCATCAGGCTTGAGGTAGACTTTGTAAACTATGATTTTTGTTGATATCCAGAATACAAATCTCTTTGCTGGAAGTTAACCAGAGTATTCTATTATTCCTGTGTACAGTGGATTAATAGGCTTTAAAATACATTCCTTGATACTATACAAGAAAGTGGAGGGCTACATACTGCTTGCTATGTAAATAGAGGTTTAATTAGCACTTAGGTTTTGCATCTTAACAGGTTGCAAGTTTTAATTAAATCTGTATTTACATGGCGAGAAATGCAGATTTAGAGGCCTTTCTTTTCAGAGCTAACCAAGATCCTCTGAGATACAGCTCTTCCAAAGTATAATCAAAGTTATATGAAAGGTACTCTTGAAGTTGGGAGAAATCATTTAAGTAATGGAGTCCGACTTCTCACAGCCAGCACACTCATTTCTGTGGTGTTCCAGAAACATGATGAACTGCTGCAATACAGATACTTTTATTGATTAGAAGCTTACTTGAGAAAACCTACCTAGCTTTTGTACAGATCCAATCACTTCAAAATTATTCTACAACATTTATTGTTGTTCTGCCCTATAGAATTAGAGGACAGCAACAGCAACAACAACCAAAAACCCCCAATTTTTACTCTATCCTAAACGTCCTCAAACATACCAACTCACAGTCTGGCACCACTATGTTTTTCTCTACCCTTGCACCTTTATCCCAAGTATTTTCTTCTCAAACAAAATACTCCCAGTTCCTTCATTTCTTGATCACAAGATATTTTCATTTTAATCACCATTCCAATCAACTTTCTTTGAAAATATACCAGTTTATTGATATCAAAGGATATCAGTATCTCTGAAAATGTGCTTTTCCAGAACAAACATAATCTCACTACTAAGAATTTCTATTGATGAAGCCTATATTTACTTCCTTTAAAATGGCTCTTATTCCTGCACATTGTGGAGAAGAAAAAGAAAATCTACTGTATTTTGAAAAGGCATTTCAAAATAGTATCTTCAATAATTCAAATCTTTCCCATGTCATAAAGCAATAATAATCTTGCTTTGTCATTGCCTGTATATTCAGTTTATTTGTTTTCATATCACTTTTGTATATTAAAACAGTGGAGACTCCAGCAGTTCCCAGAATTCGGAACTAACATGTAAATGAATAAATATTACTGAAGTTTTTAAAAAACTTATTATTTGATTAATTGTTGAATGACAGAGATAGAGAAAAAGAAATAGTAATATGTTTTATTTGCTGGTTTAGATTCCAAATGCCAGAAATAGGGTTAAGCCAGGCCAAATCTGAGAACCTAGAACTCAATCTGGATTTCCCGGGTGGGTGGCATGTACGTAAGTACTTGAGCCATCAACTACTGCCTCCTAGGGTGCTCATCAGCAGCAATTGGGTTGGAAGTGGAGCCAGGACTCTAATTCCCAGACTCTGATACAAGATGTGAGCATCCCTAGTCACAACTTAACCTCTGTGCCAAATGCCCACCCCACTCTGAGGATTAGAATTTCCTCAATAGAAATTTTAGTGATTATCATTATTATTAATAATAATAAAACACGACAAGAGGAAGAATGCATGTGGTAGTCATACTTCATTCCATATGGTACCTTATACACAAGATGCTTTGTGTATGTGTATGTGAAAGAATGAAGTTGTTAGTGTTCTATATGTGCTCTAGACAGTGTCAATAAAAAATAATATGAACTTTTACATACTCACCAGAATGAAACATGTGGGGAGCAATTCGGACTATACTGTTACTGGAATTAAGATTTATTCTATGCATCTGCTCTCCCACAATATGGCGCTGGGAGAGAAGTAAACAGCTTCTACCCAGCTGCCTCTCACCAACTTGACAAGCTGCAGGAGCTGCTCCTGATTGGAGGAGAGCGGCGTGCTCGGCGTGTGGGCAGCCGAGTTGGGATTGGTGGAGAGGACTATATAGGAGGAGAGAGACGGCATGGTGGTGTGGGTTGGTTGGAGAGTGCGTTGGAGAGTTCGCGGGGAAGTTCGTTACTTCGTTCTTTCTCATTTCTCTCTACTCATTCTTGCTTTGGGAGTTTGCTGTTTACTTATTCTTACTTTACTATAGAAAGGACTTGTAAAAAAAGGGGAACATCTATGGGGAACATCTGAGGGAACACCTGTGCAGCCCCCGAAGAGAGCCGGCCGGCGGTGTGCCGCTCCCCTGTGGAAGTGGGGAATGCGGCCAGGGGGAACTGCCCTTCCATGGAGGTGGAAGGGATAGTAGCCAACCCGGGAAGAACCAGCAGCAAACCCGGGGAGGGCCGAGCAGCAGAAGAAAGAACAGCGCAGGGTCCTGTGTCGTTCCTCCACGAAGAGGGGGAGCGACAAAACAGATGTGAAAACCCCAAATGGTCAAGTACTGGTAAAGCTGTAGAGCAACCATACTTGCCTATGGAAATGTAAATCAGCATAGCTGCTTTGTAACATATTATTTGTTAAAACTGGGCATGCATTATTATCTTGGTGATTCAGTAATCCCTCTCTTACATATTTACCCAACAGAAATAAGCACATATGTTCATCAAATCATACATGAATATTAACAGAGGCATTATCTAAACTCATGATAAAGTGTAAACTACCTAGAAGACATCAGCAGTTGAACAGATAAATGAATTGGTATATTCACAAAATAGAATGTTGTTCTTTAGATTTTGATAATGTCATGCCTTTTGGTTTGAGTGCTGTTTCCAAAGTTGTGTTTGTGAAATTTAATGAGATGAACATCTGTATGTTTTTTTCCAGTATATGTATATATTGAAATATATAAAAAAGGGTGAAAAATCATTGCATTCCTTTAATAAATAATACCTCCTTTGTATGCTCTATGTTTCTCTCTAAAGAATTTTTTGAAGTTGATATTTATGTTATTAAGCACTATTTTTATGTTTTTTTTTTTGAGGAAATTGGAGGAAGAAATTTTACTAAGAAGGCATGTAAAATATTCACCAGGAAACTGTCCCTCTGTTATAAACAAAGGATGTGTATTTCCCTTGAAATTGAACACTCAGTTGTTTTTGTTTCAGGCATTGATTTTTGAATTTTACTTTTAAGCAGTTTCTGAGGCATAACTCACTATATCTCACATAAGGAAACTGAAGAAAGCACAAAAAATAAGGATAATACCATAATATGTTTTTGGAATATTTATAGCACTGCTTTTCATTTTCAGAAAAATAATTTATAAGAATACTGGTTTTAGTTTAGTAATAACTTTTTGTGTATTACTGATATGCCTAGTAAATCTTATTTTACTGCATTTCTTAATAGGTGTGCAGTTCAATTTCCACACATTTCATTTGGAAGACCATCATGACTACTTACTGATCACAGAGAATGGTAGTTTTACTCAACCACTAGCACGCCTGACTGGTTCTGAACTTCCTTCAACAATCAATGCTGGGCTCTATGGAAATTTCAGGGCTCAACTGCGCTTCATTTCAGATTTTTCAATATCATATGAAGGATTCAACATTACGTTCTCTGGTGAGAAAATAAAGGAACAAACAAAATATTTCTTTAGAGCCTTTTAAAAAATCAAGGTTTTTAGAAAATATTTATTTATTTGAAAGGCAGAGAATGAGAGAGAGAGAGTGGGAGAGAGAGAGTGATTGATTCCATTCACTGGCTCATTCCCTAAATGGTGGCAACTGTCAGGTATGGGCCAGGCCAAAGCCAGGAACCAGGAATTCCATTCTGGTCTCCCAAACCTGAGTGGCAGGGGCCCAAGTTCTTAAGTCATCTTCTATTGCCTTTCCAGGCACCTTACAGGAAGCTGAATCAGAAGCCGAATAGCCAGAACTTGAACCCCCACTCTGATACTGGCATCACAAGTGGTGGTTTAACCTGCTGCGCTACAATGCCAGCCTCAATAAAGTTTTTAAAAGTATGAACACCACTTATGGCTAAAGAGGGAGAACTAGCGAAAATGAAGAACGATTTTTAAAGTAGAAGAAAATTGAAAGAAATATCTGTCAACAAATTTTAAGGAAATTTGAAATACCTTAAAGATTAGTAATAAAAACATTTAGACAAAAGCAAAAAATAAATTAAGTCCCTAAAAATGTACTAGAAGTACAACAATTACATTTCCTATCTTACACTCCTGCAGAATTAAGAGAAGAAAACTAGATAATGTCTTAGTGAACTTTGAGTGAAAAGTCAAATGTATATTTTATAGTTTCAGTTAGAATAGAAAATGAAATGTTAATTAAACCAATGATATTCTGGTCTTATGTGTCTTGGAAATGTATAGGAACAGGCCAAGGTTAAGATAACCTTAACTTTTTCTTCAAATTAACATAGTTACTCCTTTTTTTTATAATTTCATTTATAAACAATAGCATGACTTCGATTACAGGGAAAAATGTGTCTAAGACCAAAGAGAATAAGAAGTAATCTTACCATATATGGTTCTACTTTCTAGTGGAATAGAATAGTGAGACAGATAATTATTTCTTAATACAGATAGAAATTAATAAATAAATTGAATGCCAACTTTCTCACATTAAAATGTGCATACACACACACATATATACATGAAAGGTCTTCTGAAAGTCATGAAAATGTGTATTATGAAAAAATTTTCCATGTATTTCAAAAATTTTTGCATCAAAATAAACTTATTAATTCTATTTTTGAAATTTTATTTTTCCACAAATTAATGATATAAGCACCAACCACATTCTTAAATTAGTATTACAGTGTCTATATGGACATGCTTATCTTATAAATAAGTAAATGAGTATAATTACTTTAATCTGGAATATTAAAATATATCCAAATAGATTTTTAAAACATTAGCTAATCAACATAAATAAAACCTCCTACTCTATTGTAATTATGAAGTAGATACTCTGAGACTGTTTTTAATAAGGCTACTTCTTAAACTGTATATAAATTATGCTATTTTTTAATCAACTATACCCTCATACCCTGAAGACTTTTTGGTTCTTCATTTTCTTTTTTTGTTTGTTTGTTTTTGATAGGCAGAGTTAGACAGTGAGAGAGAGAGACAGAGAGAAAGGTCTTCCTTTAGTTGGTTCACCCTCCAAATGGCGCTTCCTCCTGGTCTCCCATGCGAGTGCAGGGCCAAAGCAACTGGCCACAGCAGAGAGCTGGACTGGAAGAGGAGCAACTGGGACAGAACTGGCGCCCCAATTGGAACTAGAACCCAGACTGCTGGCGCCGCAGGCAGAGGATTAGCCTATTGAGCCGCGGCGCCCGCCTGGTTCTTCATTTTCATGATGATCATTCACTGCTTGAGAAAAAATTCTTAAATAAATCTGCAATAAAACAATTTCATATGTGCAGGCACTTACATAGCCCTTTGCATCTCGAATTATATGTTTTTCAGAATATATGTATGAATTATGTGAACTCTTTTTATACCAGAAATACAATAACTTTTTTCATTTAAATTAAAACTAGTAAGTAAAATTTATTTCAAAAGTGGAAATTATTTAATTTCAAATCTTATTTTTGTTTGTAAATATAAATTTCTTTTCCCATTATTATAAGTCAAAAATCTATGAAATGGAAATGTTACTAATGTGGAGGAAAGGATATTAGATAAATAGTTACATTTTCAATTTATATTTCAGAATGACAGAAGATGATATTTTCTTATCAATGTTGATTTTCATGTATGAAAGTGCTCATTAAGCTATTAGATCTTTCACAAAAGAAGGAAATATGTGCGCTAATAGCATGTTTCCATGGTTATAAATATATTTTAAAAATATGACTATGCATTAAATATACTCAATTTGCAAATAATAGGTATAACCAATAGAATTTTCTCTGTCCTCCTTCCTAATTTATAGAATACAACCTTGAACCTTGTGAAGATCCTGGAATTCCTCAGTATGGTAACCGAATTGGATTCAGCTTTGGGGTTGGTGACACTCTGACCTTCTCCTGTTCATTGGGTTATCGACTAGAAGGAACATCAGAGATCATCTGTCTTGGTGGTGGCCGGCGAGTGTGGAGTGCACCTCTGCCAAGGTGTGTGGGTACGTGGTCAGCTGCTTTCATTTGCTTGTATGTGTAGTCACTGTCCATGAAGTTGCATGGTTATACACCCTTCGTTTTTTTGTTTTTATAATCTGTTGAATTTCTTCATTTATTTATATTAATTTTTCCATTTCTTTTTCAACATGGCAGTCTGGTGTACCTCATGTTAACTCCTTTACTGCTCTAGTCAAGCAACCATGCTTCTAAATTTATTTTCAGATGATAGAAATAAGGAATGAAATAGATAAATATATGTAGAATCATATTTTGAGAGCTCACAGAAAATAGAATTGTAATCTATCAATAGTGTATTCCAGTTGAAGTTTTGATGATATTTTATAACGATTAATAACCATAAAAGATTATTGCTAGAGAAAATGTGTCAAATGAAGAATAGATAATTAAGGACTATCATGATCTTGATTTATGATAGATGAATTAAGATGGTTGTTCATTTCATGTTGTGGGATAAAAAGAGCAATGATTAACATGTCATTACCTTTGGAAATTAATTTTTGACTGATAAAAGGAAAAATATTCTGTATAAAAATTGAACAGCATTTTAATTAGTACTTATAGTCATTTCATATTTATATTAGAAAATAAGGGGCAAGAAGTTCTTCTGGCCACCAGTCATTCAGTGGTTATCAGTACTTACTTTTATGAGGGAACAAGAGGCAAATGTCCATTTTATACACATTTCATGAAGTTACTGAAAATTCTCACAAACATTTAATTTCAATTGAATTGGAAATTTCAGAATGGTTTACAGTTCTATGTAAATGTGCATATGCTCTAAAGTCAACTAAATTAGTATTAGTTCTCAGTTCAGGCCCCTTAGTCTTTGCTCGTGCTAAACATGCCCCACATGTGAACATGAAAATGAGAGTGAAGAAGAGTGTATCCTCCTTGCCTTATTCAATATTTTGTCCAATTACAGAGGTGGAAATTTATGTGGAGCCCTAAATCAAGCCAAAAACTATGATCTTCGATGTTAATGAGTGTCTGAAAGATTATATAGTGATGAGGTTGTTTTCATAACCTCATAAGGTTATGTAAAAGATGAACTGTGGCCGGCGCCGCGGCTCACTAGGCTAATCCTCCTCCTTGTGGTGCGGGCACACCGGGTTCTAGTCCCGGCCGGGGCACTGGATTCTGTCCTGGTTGCCTCTCTTCCAGGCCAGCTCTCTGCTGTGGCCCAGGAGTGCAGTGGAGGATGGCCCAAGTCCTTGGGCCCTGCGCCCCATGGGAGACCAGGATAAGCACCTGGCTCCTGCCTTCAGATCAGCGTGGTGTGCCGGCCACAGCACGCCAGCCGTGGCAGCCATTGGAAGGTGAACCAACAGCAACAGAAAGACCTTTCTCTCTGTCTCTCTCTCTCCCTCTGTCAGCTCTGCCTATTAAAAAAAAAAAAAAAATGAACTGCAATGTAACAGATGAAATTTCTTTTTCAAATCACAGATTTATATAGAAATAACACTAGCATCCACTAAGACTTGAAGTTGGGAGGTGATAAGCATCGTGTTATCAGAACATGTTTTCCAAGAAGCTATGTAGGGTGCATTCCTTCTGGGTTTTTTGTTTTTATTTTCTCTACTGTTGCTAGATTTGGAAATTCTACCCTTTCCCAAATTATTTCATTTCCATGTTTTATATAACTATTTCCAAAGGACTGCTTATGAGAATCTTTAGAATAGTCCAAGTGGGACCAGGATACCTAGCCATTTGATATTGAGCCTAAGTGTTTTTCTAAAATTTATTTTTCTCATCTGCAAAATAGTTGCAACTGTAGTACCTAGTTATGAGATTAAAAGAGATTATCCATGTATATCAAATACCTAGATCAATCCCTTGAATAAAGGAAGAATTTAGAGTTTATATGTTATTTTAACTCTTACTGTATTGAGTATAATCTGCTGTAATTGCAGAACATTGTTCTAGTTTATAAAGCCAATTATAGTAGGGAATAATCCCATTTTATAAAACCCTAATGTTGTGAGGATCTGTTAAGCTCCTTCATATAAATTTATCTAATCCTTACTATAATCTTGACATTATTATTCTCCTCAGTTATTATTAGAAGAACCTAGTCTTAGAAATGTTAAAATCTTATCTGACATTAACATTTGTAAATGGTAGAACTGTGATTTATATAGAGATTTGTCTCATTCCAGTGCCGTTGTTTCTCACTAGCATCTAGGAGGCTCTATAAGGGCTAAATCATACATAGTTAAAACCTCCTCTTAAATTACCAAATGTATACCAGGCTGCACATAGCTTGAGGCAGTCTTGTTTCTATGTGCATTATTAAGAATTAGTCTTGTTTACAGTACCTTAGAAGGCTTAAGTTATATATAATGGCCAAATTTTCAGTAAGTTGTATTCCAAATATTTGTTTTGACTTCAATTATTTGGAAACTAGATAGTCTTTCCCTGGCTCAAGGTTGTACATGATGGGTATGTTCACAGAAAATCACAGATGATTTTTTAAATTATATGCCAAATATAAAACTAATACTAACATTTACTCCAAAGAGCCATGTATAAATAGTTATATAAGACACCTGGATCTTTAGTAAGTAAGACAATAGATAAAATCCTATATTCATATTTAGTGTTTAAGGCGGCTGGTGTTTCTGAATTCCTTTTGGAAGAATTTGGTGACATTTATCTTGATTCTGATTATTAGATGAACGATATATATCATTTTATTTTAGTCAAAATTTGACCATAACCTCTGTATTATTGTTTCAGAGTAATGTTTTATAAAATATAGTAGTACTACAAATTTATCTTATACTTCTAAAAAGGATTCTGTCATATAGTATCAGTGAAGATATTATGTCCATAAAAAATTTGACGTTGTACACAAACCTTGAGGCAAGCTGTGACTATCACATTGTATTGAGTGGGAGTGCTGTGCTCAGTCATAGCAACATATCACAGTCTCTGATTAGGCTGTGATAGAGTTGAAAAGAAATATGACTTTAGCTATATTTGATACATACTTTTAGAGAATGCCTTATGATTACCCTCTGTTTTTATTGGAGAAAAATATATCTCATGTGGGTACTGGGGCCCAGGTACTTGGGCCACCCTCTGTTGCTTTCCAAGCCACATTAGCAAGACCCAGGCACATTAGCAGGGAGCTGGATTGAACGTGGAATATTCAGGATTTGAACTGGTACCCATATGGGATGCCAGCATTGCAGTTGGCAGCTTAACCCACTATGCTACAATGGCAGCCCCACACTTTTGGCCTTCCTTAAGTCATGTAACCTTTGGCAAGTTGTTCAAGTCTCTTCCCTGTCAAATTTTCTCAAATGGAAAATGAAGATAATCACATCTATATTGTACAAGACATATAAATCACATCATGAACTGCTGAACACATGCTACTTGCTCAACTCTTCTATTGCATGCCACTCTCAGCTGCCATATCACTATGGATCATGATGCCTGATAACTGTAATGAGCAGTCATTACCAATCAGCAAGATAGAAGAAAGGAGATCAGATAAAGGAAGAAAATCACTTAGTGATCATGATGAGGGTTTCATGTATTTTGTTTTTGTTTTTTTTTTTTAACAAAGAAAATGGTATTTCAGTGAAGGTATTTTATATTTAAATGATTTTTCCAGAAAGGATTTTTTTTTTTAAGATTTCATTTATTCACTTGAGAGGTAGTCACAGACAGAGAAAGGTCTTCCGTCAGCTGATTCACTCCCCAAATGGCCTCAAAGGCCAGAGCTGGGCTATCCAAAGCCAGGAGCCAGGAAGTTCCTCTGGGTCTCCCACGTGGGTACAAGAGCCCAAGCACTCGGGCCATCTTCCACTGCTTTCTCAGGCCATTAGCAGAGAGCTGAGTTGGAAGATGAGCAACCTGGACAAGAACCAGTGCACATATAGGATGAAGGCACCACAGGCAGAGGCTCAGTCCACTATTCCACCACAATGGCCCCCGTAAACGATGTGTTTAAGGAATAAATATTGGTCACCTTTTTATGAAGCAATTAAATGTTCAAAAGCACAAAGCAAAAACAAAGTAGAAGTAACTTCTAAAATAAGATACATTGTCCTGTTTTTACTTATTTCCACTTATTTCCACATTTAAAAAACAAAAATTCAAATGTTGCAAGAATTTCCATTGTTATCTTTCTTGCATTTCTTCACTCAGCATACAAATACACCAAGCCAAACCATGTTTCAAATAAACAAGGCACTAATGAAAGGACATGTTTTAGAAAGTGGATTATTAAGTTAAATATTAGTAATGATTTGCCTTAGGCAAGAGTCTACACATTATAAGAAGCCCACACATTTTAAAGCCATTTTAAAGACATTAATTCATTCATCCTCATAATCTCCCATTTAGCACATCCACTCCTATTTCTAATTTCATGTGTCATTGATTTTTTTATCTGACCTTGGACAAGTAACATCTTCCCTTAATCATAAGTAAAAAAAAAATGATTACTGCATTACACATTTACATTTTGTTCTCATTGCTCTGACTTTTTAGATGATATATAATGATACTTATATTTTAGATTAAAAATGAATGTTGACAATAAGGAAAACTGGGTGTTTGGAGTATATGGGAAATCCTATCATTGTGATTTCTCTGTAAATTTGAAACTGCTTTAAAACGAAAAATGTATTAATAAATAATTCAAGAAATGAAACAATAAAATGCTTTTGAAAAGGCAATTCATCTTTAAATAAATTACTTATTTCATCTCAGCGTTCAGTTTGCTTTACTAAAATTACATACATCAGACACCCACCCATGTATAGAAAATATGGCTGAACTAGCAAGTTAGTCAGTATTGCAGACATTTCATAATTGGAAGACTACCTTTTCTATATGATAGAACAAGGTTTTTTTTTCTGTAACGTGCATTTAGTAAATGTTTAGGCTTGGTAGGCCACTTACATCTACTGGACTCTGCCACAGAAGCAGAAATAGAGAATATGGAAATGAATGGCTGTGCTCCAAG